TATATATATATATATATATATATATATATATATATATATATTCAAAATTTATTGAAAAAAAATAGAAGTATGAATTCATACTATTTTATCGATTAGATGCATCCATTTTAATTTGTCTACAGATGGATATAAATAAATATATTGGATTATATTACATCACGCATCCCTGTATCATAATATAATTAAGACTAAAGACTAATTAAGACTTATAAAAAAATATTTAGTTAACGCTAACATGCTTCAAACTCAATAAATTAATTCAATTTAGAGAAAGTTAACTAACTTGGTGCAAATCCAAATAACAATTAAATAAACATAACCACCTAAAGTGGAAAAACCACCTAACGTGAAAAACCACTTTTATTTTTTTATTAAATAAAAAAAGACCAAAATAATTATTTAAAAGGAATATAAATTCAAATTCCACATGAATTAATTATTATGTATCCATCACGGAGCCATTATCCTTATTATTTATAAAACGACTCCCAAAAACTGCAAAGTCAAAACTACGATTGTTTCAATAAATTAATATTTGTTTTTTTAATAAAAAGTTCCTAAGTATTAATATAATTTTATTTAATAATTAAAAGGATGATACTGCTATGATGAATCCACAATTTCATATTCAGAATCAAAAGCATATATTTGGATGGATAGAGAATATTCCATGAACATAATATATAGTAAGTAATTAAGACACTCTTGAAATTCAATTGGTTCCAATTTTTAACAAAATCCCAGATTTCAATCATTGCCACGCTGGCTGGATAATTGTTAGGAATTGTCAACGCCTACCTGGATATATCAAGTGGATATTTCTTTGTACGTATTATTAATTTGTTCGGATCATGCGTGAAAGTCGTATGGAACGGACCGGAATTATCATTTTCGTAGAAAAAAAATGAATTATTTTTGAAAATACAAAATTAATTCCAATTCAGTTCCAAAATTATCGAAATTTAGAAATTCATTCGAATTCCAAAATCTATGGAAATTTCTGAATTTCGGAATTTTCCGAAATGATCACGTGAGTTTGAACATTTTTGAAAAGTTTCAAAAATAATTATAATGATTCCAATTGCATTAGCCGCTTATTTTATTTTGTTTTCAAATACCACAAAATTATAAACCCTTGAAAAGTTAAAAATCAAAACCATGGAAGATATGACAAAGGAAATATTTAGGCTGTCCAACGATATTTAATTTATTTTACAAGAGGTAAATAAATCAGATATATATTATTGGTATATTTTTGGAAAAAAAAACGGAATTTAGGAATTGATTTCAGAAATTAAATCGGATCGGAAATTGGAAATTGGAAATTGCAAATATTTTTTATATAATTTCAATTCCAATCAAAAAAATCGACAAATATCGGAAATTGAAACTTTGAAAATGAGAACGAAAAAAATTGTTCCAAAATCGGAACTTGATTCAGAGCCGACGGAAATTCGAAAATTTGTTCCAAATTTCACCTCTAGTCCATATAAAGAACATCCTCGTTGCGAAAGATTCAACTTTTCATCTCCATCAGAACTGGGATCGGACGATATTATATTAACATGATAGTTCTTATAATACCCCTATTATATATTTTAAATTGTCATCTGAAAAACTCTTTTTTTTTATTTTATATATTGGTTGTCGACATGGGATTCAAATAATTCAGTTTATTTCAATTGATTAATTTGATTTGTGTATTATTCTTTAATTCCTACATGTAGGCTAGAACTCCTAATGTAAATGTAACGCTATAATAATAAAAGTCACAAATATATATTAAACATTATCCATTGGCTAATTTCAACCCAACGCGGTAGCTGAATTAATCCATCAACAGTACAAAAGATAGTGATATTTTGATTGAATATATTTTTAATATTATTGATATGTGTATACACACACATTTGAGTATTATAAAATCTACTTGAACAAAATAATATATATGTATAATATTCCTCAATTATTGTGTGAAGAAATAATGCATATTAAAAATGCAGAATTGACTTTTAGGAGATTCCATAAGTAAGTGGATATCATGGCTCAATGAAACATAAGTACAAATTATGCAGATTCTTATTTAATTTTACGTGGGCAAAAATATAGTCTTCAACTGGCCAATTATTTTCTTCTTCAAATACATACATATATATATATATATATATATATATATATATATATATATATATATATATATATATATATATATATATATATTTAATTAATTCAAATTAGTTTTATTATTGTGGAACTAAATTATTTTTCTTTAATAAATAATATTATTGGTACTACATTTGACATTTTCATATATTATCATATTTGTCGTACGATTTTATTTTGTTTAGTTGGCAGTCGATTGTTAAAAAAGAACACGACACGTCAAAACAAGATTTTTTCGCTAGGGATTAACCGGAACTTACGATCCGACGCTCACGATCTTGTGAAGGGAAGAGAAAAAAAAAAAAAAGAGAATTAGTGATTCTAATCACAGATTTCCAAATGTGGATTCAGTTATAATATTTTAATTTCTTTTTATAAAAGAAAATTACATTTAAAAGAAAAAAAAAAAAGTAGTTGGATAATTGGGAGTCAACGAGCGTGGAGATGAGACGTGGCATACAATGAATAGGTGGAGGATCTATCAAACATTTTTGTATGTATTAATTTTTTAAAGTCGTGGTAGCTCCATAATTGGATCTTTGACTTTCTGTATTTTATATTACGTCAAATTGTTTGCAGATTTTAATTAATAAATGAATTAACTAATTGAAAAATAAATATATAAAATCCGAACTTCCCTTCACAACTTGATTAAACTTCCAAAAAACGATGGATCGAAGTTGACACTCGACACTTCCCGCAATGTTCGGTTCTCTTGAGCTTACATTTTAAATTTCCGAATAAAACTTTGAAAATTAATACTATGTATGGCAAGAACAGAAATCCCGTAACGGTCAGATTATGTTTAAAGTTGTTAGAATGAAGTTTTGGTAAAAAAATAATTTTATAAATAATGGAGTGACGTTTGTTTTAATTTTTATAAGAATGTCTTTTACTGTAACAATCAAATCATGTTTGAGATATATATTTTCGAGGCTTTTTTAGGATTTTTTTGTTATAAAGAAAGATAACAGATATAATTTAATTTTGGAAGTAGAGTGAGAAAAATCTTCAATTTGCATGCTTACAGAAAATCGTCTCCTATTCTTAAAAACCTACAAGCCATTTCAGTTTTTGTGCAATTAACAACCGAATGTTGTTAAAGTTTCGGGTCGAAATATGAATTTTGGGATTGGGCCGGACTTAATTATTCTCGACAGCCCATCTATTGGAAATGCGCAAGCAACTAAATCTTAAATCTCAGTTCATAATCAACTCTCTTGATTTTGACCGTCCATATTATTTGGTTTAATCGTGGATGTCCATTTGCTCTGATTTTACTATCTCCTCTCAATTCTACCCTAACTTCTTTCTTCTCCTTTCTTCCTCTCTCTATGAAAAGTATTTTTATCATCAGCTTGTCTTTTTCCGACAACTCTTTACAGAGTCTACGTCGTACATGACTGACTTTAACTTAGAAGCAACTTTGATGCCTCCTACCATCGGTTATGTGCCTATTTATACTGCCCTTAAAGAAAGGGACAAATGTAACACTTGTCTATACGCATCTCTGACTTTTTTCTTTCAATCTCCTTATGTGAGTGCTTGAGTGAAAAAAATGGGATTTACTGCATGTCAGAGTATCCTTTTTGATTGGCTGATCGTGCATGTGTTGGTGAGTCAACTAAGTGTGAGTATTGGGGTAGACTTAAGGTTTCCGATTTTGTGTGGTTGTGGCTTGGTGCTGATTTTCGATTGGGCTCGCCACCTGCTTGAATTTCTGGACTGAACAACGAAGAATAGGAGACTGAGCCGTTTGAAAACAATAACGGTTCCATGTGTTGGATCGGATCTACCGTTGTTTACATATTGGGCCTCCTTGGGATCCATTATTAATTGTCTTTTGGCCCATTTTGGCAGCCTAACATTCATAATACACAAAGAAACGGGCTGACCCTCACACTTTTGGGCTTCATTTAAGGATTTTAACACAAATTCATTCGAGGTTTCATTTAGGTTGAAGAATTTGGAATAATGATTTTAAATTCACAACATAAGGTCAATGAATTTATTTAAATAAATTATTTAATTACTTATTACAAATAATTAGTTCTCACTTCAAATTTTCATTGATATCGGATGGCTCGTCAAATCCAAATCCTTCCATCTAAATACACTACCGACTTTTCGAAGCTCTAAACCAATTTCGATTTATTTTTAAACTATATATTTTCACGAATGTCGACTACATTTCACTATTATTTTGTTCAATTATATTAAAAAAAAAGTACAAAACAAAATTTTACAAGCTTATAAGCAATTATACAAATTAAAAAGAAAAATAGTTTACAAATTTAGGCAAACACTCTCTTAATTGCGACAATAATAGTTCTTAACCGACTCGTCTACCTACAAATTGCTTCTAGATGAGCAGACATGTTTCGATCCAATCCGAACCTACTACAATTAAACTAAATCGAAACGAACTAAACTAAGCTGTCGAGCCAAGGCAAGCCGAGCCGAGCCGAGCCAAAAAATAATGTATAACTGGAGATATATGATGAAAATATTGTACGGAAAAGATCAAGTCATCGACAAGAGCCACAGCCCATCCCATGCTACACTAATTGCAATGTGCAGAGTATAGGGCCCTCTTCAAAATACTACTAATAATATTTTGGGTAAATTACAACCCACTCCCTCGAGTAAGCTCTATTTACAATAAAACCCCTATATTTCCATAATTACATCCACCGTCTACAATTCTACAGTTCTTACATTAATACCATTTTATAGGGTGATGAATATAAGAAATTTAAAAACTAAAGGGGACTTAATGTAATTCCTAAACATGAAGGGTGTTTTTTGTAATTTGACATTATCTAAGGGAGGTGGTTGTAATTTAGGCTAATAATTTTAGTCATTCAAAGACCCCACCCTTTTTCTTGACAAAGAAAATCCATGGATTCCGACCTTGGAAGAACAGTGGATTGCAATAAGAAAGACAATTGAATTATTACCGAAACGTAAAAGATTCTCTACAGCGACGGAAAAGCAAGAAAGCAGCAGATAGTAAAATCCAGATGGGCACGGCAAGTCAGTGGGGAAAAGGAAAAGGAAAAAAGAAACCATTTCTTTTTCTCTCTCTAGTCTAGAGAGAGAAAGCTAGAGAGAGAGAGATGATAAAGGTGGAGCAAAGTGGAGAAAGGACAGCACAAAAGGGAGAGAATTTCGGGGAAAAGTTGAGGAGAGTGGGGAAGAGAGCGGGGCAAACCACTCCAGTTGCTTCCTTTTTCAGATACCCTCAAGAATTACATCTCTCTGCTGCATCGGCAGCGGCGGCGGCGGCGGCAGCTCCTCGTAGTGGCGGTGAAGAATTGCGAGAGAATTGTAGTGTTGATTTTAGAGACGCCCCTTTTCGAAATCCCTGTTTTTCTGCGAGGAAACTTGCTGCCGCACTTTGGGAACTCCATCACTACCACCAGGTGTTTGATAAAATGCACCACCGAGGCGCCGGTGTCCCTCCTCCCAGGCTCCGCCGCCTCAACCACCACCAGATTTCTATGGACAAGAATGGCGGCCATGAACCCCTTGATCCTTCCCCTAGTTCACCGGACCTGGTAAAGGGTTTACATACAATTAATATGATTGGTTCTTACACTCTGCACTTTAGTATCTGTTCTTACCAAATTTTAGTTATGTTGGACATTAGTGAAGCTGTCTTAATCTGCTATATCCTCAACCGAACAATCTAACTAATGACTGATTTGTCCCTGTCTGAGTCCACATTAGAACTTAATTTCGAACGAGTTTAATTACCTAATCGTGTTATAATGCTTTCATTTTTGAAGATATTTTCTTGGTTTCGTGATAAAAGTGTCGATCGAAATAATTCTCCGGTTATCGATAATTACAGGCGGGAAGTTGTAGCACTTTGAGGAGGCAAGTCGTTGCTTCGTTAATGCAACATCATCATCTGTCGTCGGCTGAGAGGACAAATCATGCTATGCAACCGGTCTCGCCTGCAAGTTACGGCAGTTCAATGGAGGTACCACCACTCTACTGCATTTTTTTTTTCGATTTCCGATTATTTCTTGTGAAAGTGGACTAGGTTTTGCGATCACTAAGCATCTATAATCAGTTTTCACTTATGCTTAAGTCGTTTGATGTGATTTGTTTGAGTGCGAACTGTGCTTGCTATAGGGGTGGAAATTGGAACGGGAATTCCGAATTCTGCCAATTTCGATCTGAAATTTTTTTTTCGGGCACAAGATTTTTCATTCCAAATTTCGAAAGTTCCAATTTCTGATTTTTTTTTTCGATTTTTTTTTGGAACGGAATTGAACACATATTAGATTTTAATTTTCGAAACTATTTCCGATTATTTTCTGAAAATTACACTTATAATATCAATATTATTATGTATTTCGTATTGTAGATGACAAAAGAATTGGAATTTCCAACTTTCCCGACGGTTCCTATCTGATAATTTACAATTTTGAAACAAGTTTTTCATTCAAATGGGTAAAATTCCGGTTTCGAATTTTCCCAATTTTAATTTTTTGGCACGGAATTGCAGATTGCAGCGTATAATCCAGCACTTACTCCTACGAGCTCCGTAGAATTAAAAGGTAGAGGTGGTAGCTTACGAACATCAACCGAACTCCTCAAAGTACTAAATCGCATATGGACCCTCGAAGAGCAGCACATTTCCAACATGTCCCTCGTCAAAACCCTAAAGAAGGATCTAGAACATTCCCGCTCCCAGATCAAAGCATTAACAAGAGAGCAGCAAATCGAACGCCACGAAATGAACGAGCTGATCAAGCAGATCAAGGAGGACAAGATCGTAATTAAGAAGAACAAGGATCAAGAAAGAATCGAAGCCACCATTCAATCCATGCGCGGCGAATTGGAAGACGAGCGGAAGCTGAGGAAGCGATCCGAGAGCCTCCACAGAAAGTTGGCGCGCGAGATCCAAGGTACGAAGAGTATCCTCGCGGAAGTTTCGAAAGATTTGGAGAAGGAGAGATGCTCGAGGAATCTTTTGGAGGATCTTTGCGACGAGTTCGCTTTGGGAATAAGGGATTACGACAAGCAAGTTCACTCCCTCGCGCAAAAATCGGACATGGACTACAGCGATCGGTTGATTCTGCATGTGTCGGAATCTTGGCTCGATGAACGCATGCAGCTGAATTCTCAAGCGGGGCCCACTTTTGGGTCGGCTGTGGAGAAATTGAGCACCGAGATTGAAGCTTTTCTCCGTGCTAAAAGAAGCGCTAAGAAAAAGAGTGATGTGGGCCCCACTTTCCGAAGAAGCTCTCTTGAATCTATACCGTTGAATTTGGCTGTTAGCAGCGCCCCACGAGACATGGATGATGATGATGATGACTCGGCGAGTGGCGATTCGAATTGTTTCGAACTGGAGAAAGTTAGTGAATTTGAATCGGCTTTAAAAAATCAACACGATGAAAATTCGAAGCAAAGGGAAGTGAAGAAAAAGCACGGAGAAATTATTACGGACCGTGTTGAAGATGGACAAGAAAAACGCGAAGCGGACGAAGATTGCGGGGTGGTTAGTAATTCGAATAATATGATCAAGAATTTAATCAGAAATCATTATTTGTTGTCTGAAAGTAAAGAAGATTGTGGGCCCGCTTCTTCTTCTTCGGTGTGGAGGAGTCAGCCTAGTCCGGTACGACAGTGGACGGAGAAGCTTCCGTCGAACGTTCCAGAAACTTCCGGAGCCTCGGCTTCGAAATTGCATCCGGACTTGAAGGAGAATACTTTGAAGGCTAAGCTGTTTGAAGCAAGAACGAGGGGTCAAAGGTTGCACTCGCGCGTAAAGGGTTCGATTGTACTTTCTCGAAATAAATGATTTTTTTTTTTTTTTCGGTATGTTTGACACTCAGAACTTTTCTTTTCGCCTGAGAAAATGGTCATTGTTAATAATAAACTAGAGAATTCTATCTTTTGATTCAACACAATATCATCTGTAATTAATGTAATGAAGCATTCACATTTCACAGTGTAATTTTATTACTCTCTCCTTCCTCTATATATATAGATAGAGAGATAGATAGATATTAAAATTATAAAATTGCGGTAAGGTATACTGCACAGTACAACACCGTATCAAATGTAGTGGTAACTATATATTTCGATATTTTTTTGTACGGTAGCCGCACGAACCAATCAGTTATAAAATTGTATCTATAGTCATCGGAGGTGTGTTCCGTTAACGGTGTTGTTGGGCACTCGTAGAGAAATACACATATACATACGACATTAAAAGTAAAGGGAAAGAGATACACAAACAGGTATAGTTCCAACACATAACTATTATTGTTTTAGAACGACTGAGTCCTTCATTGTTCAGTGTTCAGAACGACAGGAAACATCCGTTAGTAGAAAAATAGCTTTTTATTACGATCATTAACCGTAGCAAAATGCATTAAATTCATAGTAAAAAGGCTTTTGCTAAGCATTTTCTACGAATTTACCCCGTAGCATATACGGGCGTGACAACAGTTTTGCAACGGTAAATGGCCGTACCAAATACTTTTTTAATACGGTAAATCCTAGTATTTACTACGACTTCAAAATTGTTTCGTAGTAAAAAGTACATTTTATTACAGTTTTTCACCGTAGCAAACAAACTCGTAGTAATAAGCAAATTTTCTACTGGTGAACAAAGATGCTCCTAAGTCAAAGTTAGCCATTTACGGGCGAAGACTCTATAAAGAGTTGCCGGAAAAAAAGACAAACTGATGGCGTGAGGGAGGGCAAGAGAGAAAGCAGTACATTCAAACTAAGAGAAGAGTTGAGAAAAAAAGAGTTAAATTACCTGAGCGAGTCGACGTCCACGATTAAATGAAGTAATCTGGAGGATTAAAAAATGTCGAAAACGCAATATTTAGTTAGTCATCTATTTATTTATTTATATATTATAATTTAAAAATTTGTTTATGAATATAAGTTGGAACATCTGGACCCATAGAATAAAGGAAAATCTGGGCGTAGAATCACTCTGATTATTATGTCTGGTAAGAAATAATAGTCAAATCAGATCAACACCAACAAAAATAGACTCAAATTTAACTCTAAAGGGCAAAATTATAATATTAATCATGTAAGCTCACCTAAATCTAGTCCTCTAATTTGTCTCATTTTATTGGTGGGTATGCAAAAGTTATTTATATGCTATATTTGATGAAGGTTACATTGTACCGAATGGAATTTTTCCTGTTGATTTACACATTTGTGTGTGTGTTTTTTGTGCTTATAAATGATAAAATATATCCGATGATTTTCAGTTAGTCTATAACACCGATTTATTTACGAGAAACAAAAACATAAAACACCCTCAAACCCTTATTTTACTCCAATGTCATCGGTTAAACCCTAATTTTATCAATTAATAATTTTTGTCCATTCCCTGGCGCCAATGACTGGTGTTGACCGGCGGTCAACGGCGTCAACTTTATTTTGTCCTTCCTCTTCTTCAGACAATGTTGTTGGGTTGAAATTTGGAACATTTTTTTGTCGATTCCACTGGTTTGTATCCGCGTATATTTTTCGATTATGGAATAATATTTTTGTATTTCGAACTCAAAAGTTTTGAGTTTCATGTGTTTTTAGGGGAAGAAAAAAAAAAGAAGAATTGGAGCACATCACTTGATCCAACATTTAAAAAAAATATTATCAAAAATTCCACAAAACAAAATCAAAATTAACACTTGCAAAATAAATAATTTTGTTATGTATTTTATATTACAGAGAAATAGAAAATAAAAATTCTAGCCGATTACAGATCAGTATTATTTTTTAATTTGAGACATTTTCTCATTCATGTTTTCAAAAATTCAATTATCCAATGTTAATTAGCAAATAGGGAGTACTATATATATTTAGAAATAAAACATTAATAAATGCTCCATTTAAAATTGAGAAAATCAGAAAATAAATGAGAAAACAAGAAGATGGAGGGGCACTTGTCAGTGAAGGATAGGGGAGCACGAAGAACCTTTTAATGGATCAAGACAGCATATATAAATATATATATAGTTGAGAATTATTTAATTTTTTTTGTGTGTGTGTATATATATATATATATATATATATATATATATATATATATATATATAATTTTATTACACCTTTCCATTTCTTTTTGTAATTTTTTAGGGTTTTGTCTAAAGAATCTGAAAATCTGCAAGTGAAGTGACGTTAGCTTCACAGAGATAAACTAAAGATTAAAAACCATTATCATGATAAAGCTGTATGTTTCTCCCACTTTTTCTATAATCCAAATGCTTAATTAATTATTTTTTTATCAATTAATGACGGTATTAATACATGTCTTCTTTCCTACTTTCACTTTTTACAAAGATTAAGAAGTTGATCAATAAAAAAATGACTAAAATAACCTTTATCATTTAATGATTATAAGAGAGAATTTATGTTTAGAGCTGCATTTATTTTTAAGAAGAGACAATTATTGTGGAACGGAGGGAGAGAGTAATAAGTAACGTTTGTATTAAATTCCATAATAATTAAACAGGAAAATTAATTAGAAGAGTATCTAATTAGCAAACTTGCAAAACAGCACTTGGAAATTAAACCAAGTATATATAGAATAACACAACATAAATTAATATAAAAATTACAGATACATAGAAAGAAAAAAAAAAAGTACGTATCCTAATATATATTAAGTACAAAACAACGTTGTTTCACTGAATATTAATTAATTAAGCAATGTTGATTAATAATAAAAAATTAGAGTATTAATTAATAATAATGAATTAAAGTTGATGGAGGTAATTAATTAATTAATATAATAAAGAGATGGAAGAGAAGAGGAAGGGAGGACTTTTGGGTAATAGCAAAACGACGTCGAGACAAACATAGGAACTTGTAATAATAGCAATCTCCAAGAAAAGCCATTGTCGTTATATTTACTCTTCTAGGCTGCACCATTGCCCAAAACCCTAATTCTGTATATATTTTGTTTTTCTGCACAGTAACAACAATTCAAAGTATTATCAAATAGTATATATTAGGTAATAATAAATAAAAATAAAATAAAAAGGTAAAAAATAACTCAAGTATATATTCCGTCACTGCAAAAGACTGCAATATTTATAAAACCAGCAACAAATTAAATATATGTATAACACAATCTTGAACCCTAGCAGAAGATCAAAGAAAACCCTTACAATTAAATAATTTAGAGTAATTATATGTACATGAAATATAAATGAATAGATAAATAAAAAGAAATAAGTGATAAAAAAGGGAGCTCCCTTCAGTCCAAGAACAGGAAATATAAGATTCAACTTGACTCCCGCAGCATTCAATCAGTTACCGAGTAAGAAAACTCGTTAATCTACTCGGCATTTGTATGAATGATTCGGCAGCAGATTCAATCCCACTCCCCCTCTAGTTGGACCAAAGAAAGCTCTCTCTCTCTCTCACACACACACACACATATAAATGCATACATATATATGTATGTATATGAAACTAATTAGTTTCAACTCTTTTCTTTCATATTATGGTGTAAGGGAAGGAGGAATTGAAGGGGGTTTTGTTGGGAAGAAAAATTGTTTATTGCAGCCTCAATTTAGGAAGAATGAACTTTGCTCATGTTTTTTTAAGGTGAAACACACTGTCTTTTTATAGCTAAAGAAATGGTGGTTATCTATTACACACATTATTATGGCTACAGAAAAATAAATAAATTTAAAGACAAGAAAATATAGAAAATATGTAAGAGAGAGAGAGAGAGAGAGAGAGAGAGATTCCAATAATCTTCATTCTTGTTCAACTTCAACCCCTCCAATTTAAAGGCCCATCACTTCATTACAAGTGACCTAGCTTTAATTAATTAAACCATTTTAAATTCAGGTCTAATTAAGATTTTTATTATTATTTGCAATAAAAGGATATAGTTCTGATGTTATTCCAAAGAATTGGATTATATAATTAACAATTTACAAGTGACATAGCTTTAAAACATTTACTAATGATAATTAAAAAAAAGTAGCTTTAAAACATTTTTTTTTTAATTCAGATCATAATAGATATTAAATTGTTTATTAAGCTTTTATATGTCTTTTAATGCATTTCTAACCCTAATTTGAGGATTCGGATCCATATATATATTACAGGCTTTCTTTTGATAGATTGATATTATTTGCACATGTATTTTCTATATATAGTTTAAACTAATGAAGAAGACACGTGTGTCAGAGTGTAATTAAAGGTAATTAGTAGGTAGCTAAACTCATATTATAAGCACTAAACAGCAGTGTAAGTACAGTTGAGCAAATGCATTAATTAAACCAAGAAGCAAAGTACAGGGTGTAGTAGGGTTTGTGCAGTTTCCTTAATTGGAAAGAACTACCTTTAGACATAAGTACCCTATTTCTTGAGGGATTGTCTATTTTTCTAATCTATTTTGACAGCGGCTTTTCGGACACTCTCCATACATTTTTAATTAAATTTCAATAATATTAATTAATTAATTTTAATTTAAAAAAAACTTAAGTTTAATTTGTGAATGGGAACACATGGGAACTTGTTTGGTGGTGCCACCACCATGGATTATCATTACCTGTCCACGAATGAAAGCGCGCTTCTAGAAAATGGTTTAGGTTATTAATTAAGTACTAGGGAAAATAATTTATTTTCTTTAAGTTTATTTGAATATATATCTCATTAATTATAATTAAGCCATGTTGATTTATATGCCTATATAAATCTAAGTGATGATTGTAACAGATAAATTGTTTTTTTGTTCCAACAAACATTTGTGTGCATTTTGTAACTTTGTAGAGTAGATAAATGACGCACTCTATTCAACGTGGATCAGACACAAATATGAACTACGTACGTATATTCACTATGACATGCAAACAAGATTTACGTATGTGACAATAATCGAACTTTAGCAAAAACACTAAATGAAGCGGTTCTTGCACACCACTCCAACTTCTTGTTCTTCACATCAAACCCTGAATACGTATTTTTGTACT